TTTTCATACGAAATGATAACAATTAAATGTTGATAATTTTTCATCCAGTTAAATTTTCCAGTTGAATTTCCTTTATTCAATTATTTAATAAATTTTTACTAAAATTTTAAGTTTGTAATTATTATGTAATTTATCATATTTATACAATTTTATATATTTATTATATATAATTGTTTATTGTTATAATTTGTTATCATATAATGATATGTATTATTATATACAGTAATTGTAAAATATTATCAAATTGATAAAAATTATTAATCTTGAGCTTTGTAATAAATGAAATTATAATATAATTTCTTTTTAATGAAAATGACATGGCAATAACAATTAATGATTATTAATAATCAATAATTAATCATTTTTCATGTTTTTTTATTATAAATAAATTCCATCGTATCGTTTGAGAAAAATTATAAAAATAAAACGTCAGTGCAAGTTCTGTAGTTGTAATTTGTAGTTGTGATTTTTGGTAATTGTCACCTACAAATTATGCTTGCCTGTTGCTTGAACCAATATCTCCAAAATACCTTTATCATACACTCTGCTAAATATTTTTTTCACTGTAAAACAGCAAGTTCCTTTTCGAAAATTCTACAGCAATATGCATTTTTGATGGGTTTGGTGGATTTTTCAATAATAAGAAAAAAAAAAAAACAAAAATAAAACGCTTAAAATATACTTGTAATTGTGAAAAAGAAGCAGGAGAATAATCGAAATTATAAGGACAGTTAAATAACTATAAATAAATTATGTAACAGTTAGTAAGTATCATAATAAGTTAATGATACATAAAATATCAAAACTACACGAATTTAGTAGATTTATAAATAAAGATTGAGATATCAATGACGAGTTAACTTGTCCTTTGTAATTAATTAATAATTAAAGAGTTATAACAAAAATATGAAATATACGAGCCTCTTGACAAGTGAATTAAGTCTCTTTCTTTGATGTTGTAAAAATTGGACTTTTGTCCAATTTTGAGTTTACATCAAACGAACGAATCTGTCACTCCTACTAATTTATAATTTTTCATGGAAATTATATATATATATATATATATATATATATATATATATATATATATAT